GTTTACAAATTTAGCAGAAAAATAGTAACATTAAGCGACTTATAGATTCACACGAATAGTGGCTAAATAGGTAACAGGTAAGACAAAAATATTAAAAGTATAATTATAAATATATCAAAAACAATAGGCACACAACAAGAAAATGATTTGAAGAAAAAAAAAAATTACGTGAATACATATTTCTAAATAAAGTCTTTAGCTACTCATCATGGTTCTAGCTTTCGTTGGGTTTGTACCAAAGAATATTAATATCATGCTTGCTACTGATCTTGTTAAAAGTACGACAAGCTTTTGAACATACAAACCAGGATCCGACCGAACCTTATGCAGGTAAAGGAGGCCATACACTCTAGGTTTTGCATGATGGTTTAGCCGCGCATGCATAACCAACAGGCGAACCCTAGCGTGTATGTGATTGTCGCGGAGAACCTAACGAGTAACCGGGGCTCCGGCTCGACGTGCAGGAGAAGGAACGGGGTGGTTTTTAGTCAGTAAGAGTCTGACACTCCCTCCCGCCTCACCCAGGCGGGAGCAGGCATTCGATGATTATCCCCCCTTAAAAAAAAAAGCTGTAGGTACAGGGTACAGTTATCGGTGCATCGGTGCTCGGTTATGCTTGTCTGTTTTGCACGCACAGTTTTAACCATCATGCATAACCTAGAGTGTATGAAACTGCCAACCCTGCTTAGTAATATTAGGTAGGTACCTAAGGTTTTTAAGAAATGCTAAGTTTTAAGTTTAAGATTAAGTCAAGAAACTTAATTACGGCAAACCACAAAACCGCTGGATATCAAACAAGAATAGCACTAATGAGAATGATTTAATAGAAGTTCTAAATTTTTAAAGCGAGGTATTTGCATTGTTAGGCAAACAAAACGGTTGCCTATGACCACTGGGTATTAAAAAAGTATTATAGATAGGTATTAGATATAGCAATATTCAGCAAAAGAATAAGGTAACTGGTAACAAAATAAAAACATGGATTCAGTCCAGATTTCAGAGACAGTAAGTAACATTTGGTTTGTTAAGACGACCAATAATAAAATTGGCACTATATCGTTTCCCCAAAAGCACACCTAGTGTGTTGGCTAAAAGGCTAAAAGAGGGCCTATTGCCATACACTTGGAATTTCAGATACCGTGCTTTTTCGAAGAAGTTTGGAAAATCGTATTAACGCTTTGCTTTATTCAACCCTAGGTCAAGATAAATCCACCAGTCGGCAACGTCTCTGGCAATCAAGGAATCGGTCGCCATTTTTATAAGCCTTGCATAAAGTTACGTAATAAAATTTCGACTATTTCAACATGGAGAGATAAGATAATAAAATAATTAATTCATACCTCTAATCGATGTCTCGCAAGACGGGTTTTTGAAAGTAGGTAGGTATTTACGTAGGTACCATAAAACTTACGACATTTTTTGCGAATAGTAACGTTGTTTCCAAGTCATTTTACAGACAGCAGCCTTTTTACGAAGCTGGCTGAAGTAGCTACATAAATAGGTCACATCATCATCACAACACACTGTTACTACTAAGGGAGACCAGACAAAAGCTGCCTGTCTAAGTAGCTGACTAAGTTTACTATTTGCGCAGGCAAAAAAATAAATATTATCTTTAGATAATATGTTCTGCTTTCGTAGCTTTTTCTTACTGATGATATTTTAAGATTTTTAAAGTGCACTCAAGTGCACTAGTCTTAATCTTGTCTTAAAAGCTCAACTTTTTAATTTTGCCGCTGACGCTGAATAAAACCTGCTTTAAACCTTGAACATTTCATCCAATACAATAACCTAAAATTACCAATGACAAATAATAAACCAATGAACGCAATTGTTTAGTGCTAGAGAACACACTGATAGTCCTCAAAACGAACATAGAAAACTAATTCTTAAGTGTTGCTATTGAAATGAATGTCTTGCATTTAAATATTTTTAAAAACTAATTAATTATTTGTAAGTTTTAGTTATTAATTGTTTTATTTATTATGCATAAACTCTAGCTAATTCTAGCGGACTAAGTGTCTAGATATTTCCTGCAGAATTAAGAAAACACCTATAAAATGTAAATGGTGGTTGTTTATGTTTTCATAGGTGGCAACATTAATCATGGACGTCGTTGCTTGAGGTATCGGCGTTTTGTTGAAAAATATAGCAAAAATGTGTAATTAATTTGTAAATCGAGTGTTTTTTAACGTTGTTGTATAACAGAAAATGGTAACGATTGTTGACGATTTAGATTCTTTAACTTTGCAAGAGCCAATTTTCAAGGATGTCAAATATTATGTTTCTGGCGATGTCTCGGAAAGGGTATGTTTTGTGTGATCATTAGTGTATTTGTATTGAAATAAGTGTTGTAATTAGGGCGTCGTATAATTAGGGCACGTGGTTTAATTGCAGATTATGCTGTTACTTCAGTCCGGTGGAGCGGAGAGTACAAAATATTTCTCAGACTATGTCACACATCTAATTTGTGGGCAAAATGCTGAGGACACCGACGTCGATGAAGCCCAGGACATTTACCAGATCCCTGCAGTGACGGAGCACTGGGTCCTAGCGTGCGCGCGCCTCAAGAAGTTGGCCGACCCGAAGCCCTACAATCCTCATAAGAATAAGATATTTAATAACATTGTATGTTGTATATCTAAAGTGAGTGTTGCTGACGCTAAAACCTTGTTCGCTGTTATCACATATCATGGTGGAAAAGTAAAGTTGAACTTGGACTCTCAGTGTACTCACCTGATTTGTGGATCTGCTGTGGGAAAGAGATACAGTGCCGCGCTCACACTCCCTCCCTCAAGGATAAAGATTGTGACCCCTGACTGGGTGCTAGAGAGTATTAGGGCTAGAATACAAGCGGTGACTGATATATTTCACCCAAAACTGTTAGTTGTCCCTCAGCCTCCCCCGAAAGCGATGGACCGTATTAGTGCAATCACAGGTTTCGATTTTGAGGAAGGTATTGCTAAAAACGAGGTGCCCACACAAAATATGGCAGAGAACAAGGATGATAGTACCCAGGCTTTGTTGGACAAACTGAAACAAAGGATGCCTTGGAACCATCCCCCGGCCAGCTCTAGTGTGTCAGTGGCTTCTAGTACACCTATCAGTTCGATGGGTTATACTTCAACTTCCATGTCCACACCCGGTATCATGAGCAAATCCATACCGCAAGGCATTGTGACACAAAATTTACAGATACAGGGCAGTCAGCCGAACTCGCCACTACTACAGAAGTTTGGACAACAGAACACAATAGTGTCACAAGCAGGAATGATGCAGAGTCAACAAATTAGTATGCAGCAACAACAACAGCAGCAACAACAACAACAACAACAACAACAACAGCAGCAGCAGCAGCAGCAACAACAACAGTCATACCAGGGGCAACAGCAACAACAACAACCACATGGCCTAACAGCAATACAGATACAGCAACAGAAAATGTTGCAACAGCACCAACTGAAGATGCAAATGTTGCAGCAGAACAAGCTCAACAACCAGCAGGGCCAGCAAGGGTTCCAGCCCAATGTCTCAGTGTCCCAAATGTCTCAGAACCTTCAAGGTCAATTGCAGCAACACATACAGGGTAACCAGCACCATTTGCAACAGAACATAAACCAGCCTCCAACAACAATGAGCTCAGCTCAGCAGCATATTGAGAATATTAGCCAGATGTTGAGTCAGAGTGCTAATAATCTGCAGCAACAGCAGAACATGGCCATGAAACAAAGCCTGAGCCTCAGCCAGCAGACTGCTTCACAAGCTGTCCAGAATATTGCCCAACAACTTGCACAGTCCACTCAGAATCTTCAAAATGCAAAGATGAATCAAAATCTTTCACAAGGACAGCTGATTAACCAGCAACTGATATCATCTGGGCAACAGATGTCACAGCAAAACCAAGGATTAATTCAGCAACAAAATGTACAGAATATAAATAATCAACAACAGAATATTAATATGGGTGTCCAGGGCCTAGTGACGTCATCACAGGGTCAGACAGGACAGGGTGTACAGCTCAACCAACTGGTGAACTCCAACCAACAAACAGTACTGAGCCAGCAGATCCAGTCTGTGCAGCAAACTATACAGACTCAGCAGAATGCTAATGTACCTGTGCAGGGAGCTTGGAGACAACAGAACTTGCAGATGGTGCAAAATGTACAAGGCCAGCACCAAATTATAAGGAACCCATTAGTTCAGTCTCGGACACCACAGAATCAAGTTATTCTGCAACAGCAAATCATGCAGACTCAACAACAGGCCTTAATAAACAACCAACAACCTCAATTGAGTCCCCAGCATACTATACAACAAAATCCTCAGCAAATTCTCCAACAATCCATAGGAGGTCAAGGCCAACAGTTGAACCAGACACATCACCAGATCCTGTTCCAAAAGCAGCAACTTCTAAGCAGTTCTGGTCAGCAGCAGATAGTGCAAGCTCCTCAACAAGTGCTGATAAACCAGCACACAGGACAGCAACAGATTCTAGTACACGGAAACCAGCAGGTCACATTGCAAGGAGGTCAGCAAATTGTGTCACAAAGTCAAATTGTTCACCAAGGAGGTCAGATTGTGAACCAGGGTGGACAACAGATTATAACACAGGGTACGCAGCAGGTTTTGACGCAAGGAGGACAACATGTGGTGATTGCACAGTCGTCTCAGCAAATCGTGACACAGTCTGGTCAGCAGATACTTGGTCAAGCGGTGGGGCAGACTCAGCAGGTGTTGACACAGATGCCGCAGTCTCCTCAGGCAGGTGGTGGGGGAAGTATCCAGCAGATTATCACGCACGGCGGGGCGCAGCAGATAGTGTCGCCGGGCGGGCAGCAGATAGTGCAGGGCGGACAGAACGTGTCCTGGCAACAACAACAGTACTTGCAGCAGAGGCAGCAGATAGCACAGCCTGGCACTGTGGGACCAAGGGTAAGTGATTAATAAGAAGTTTGAGTAGATACTTTGTTCCTAATCAAAGAACAAATAGACGTTGAAAGGTCTTAAATAATATCAAATCTGAATTATTTAGTTAATTTTCTAGCATGCACATCCATTTAAAAAAATGTCTAAGTTATTAATGATTCCATAGATAAAACATACATTCATAACTTCACGCCTGTCTCCCATGGTACCCCATGACATAATTATGTAGAGGCTATGGAACGCCAATCTGTATGATTCCTACATACCTCTTTCGCTTCATCAACACATAAAAATCCTAACTTTACACAAATAATTCAACATTTTTCAATAAAATATATGTAATCATCTTGCAGGTGTCATGGACGGCGGGCGGCGGTGGTCGTCAACTGATCCACCTGGACGCGCAGACTCACGCCCAGCTGCAACAGATGAAGCCGCAGGAGCGCGCCGTGTTTGTCGCGCAGCTACAGAAGCGGCGCCAGCTGTCGCTGCAGCGACAGGCCGCCATAGCTCAGCAACAGGTTAGTTATATACATAACATAACATCACGCCTTTTATCCCCGAAGGGGTAGGCAGAGGTGCTCATTTTGGCACTTATTGCCACTGTACAATATAGACATTGACACCCACTTTTCACTATTTGTGTTATGAGTCCCATGTAATAGGGGGTGAGCCTATTGCCATAGACCGGGCACATGTTCAGATTCCGTGCTACTACTGAGATTTTTTTCAAAACCCAGTAATAATTTGTCCGACCCGGGAATCGAACCCGAGACCCCTTGCCCGGTAGTCGCACTTGCGACCACTCGGCCAGCGAGGTTGGTTATATGTGGAACATAAATAAATTGTCTTTATAAAATAGGCAAATCGAATATTGTAGTATATAATATAAACTCTCAAAATTAAATAAAATTAAATACAGGAGGATCGGAAAAACTAAAATTAAGAGTTTTTCTGTTTCATAATATGTACCATAGCAACTACTCGCGTTGGGTTGGAGATCGCAAATTAAAAGGTTCATCAGAGAATCCTGTTAGCTAGTCTTTGTCAAAAGTGTACTCCCACTGGAAGAGTAGAGATAGCGACACTTCTGTTGTAATTTGTATTATTACCAATTTTTTTGTGGGGGGAAATCATTCAATGATTTCTCCCGCCTGGGTGAGGCGAGAGAGAGTATCAGACTCTTACTGAGTAAAAACCACCCCGTTCCTACTTCTGCACTTCGAGCCGGAGCCCCGGCAACCTGTTACGTCCGCAGCTCCGTATCGGCTATTATTACAACTAATAATTAATTATTATGAATTCCCCGTACAGCAGCCAGGCGTAGTGGCGGGTTCCCCCGGCGCCCCGGCCCCGGCGGGCGCGCAGAGCGTCACCTTCATACGCAGCCAGATCACACCGGGACTCTCTCAGCAACAAGTGCCGGTAACTTACATGTCATTCATGTTAAAAATAAACTGTTTCCAATATAAATCTATTAACAATAAGTCTGAATAACTTATCCGTTGTTAGATTTGCTTCATTTTCATCTTCGGCCTTTATAACCTCTCGCGCGTTTCTTGTACACACGGGTGTACGAGAGTGACTTGCACCGCTTGGAAACTTTTTCTGTGATGTATATTTTCAAGTTGCAACCCGTTCTTTATTTGATTGAACAGAATAGTTCATTCGCTTTCTATTAAACCCGTGTACGAGACGCGCGAGAGGTTATATATCTATAATTATATTAAATTAGCTGAGCCCGCGACTTCGTCCGCGTGGAATAGTGATTCACAACTCCTCCCCCATCGTTGATAGCATGATTATATGTATGTCTATATGTTGACCCGACCTGTTAGTAAATTCATGCAAAATTTGAAGTAAATCCATGCAGCACTTTTTGAGTTCATCCCGGACATACATACAGACAAAAATTCTAAAAACCAATTTTTGGTTGACTGTAGATCACGACCCCGGCCCCAAGCATTCTTTTAAATAAATATTTGATTGATATACACTGTACAGTTGTCACTTTCCTACGATTTTATTATATGTAAATATAGATGTATAGATTTCTTATTCTCCACGTACTCTTCGTGCCCTATTGTCATTCAATTACATTTTTTTTTTTATTATCTTCGGCCTTGTGTTGTCCTCTCCTACTAAGCTATTCTGTAACTTTAAACTTGAAAGATCGAAGTGAACTTGATCGCGATCCGCCATGTACGAGAATAATCTTGACCAATGCCGGAAGAGAATGTGATCAAGTACACAGACAGAATAGTCTAGTTGGACATAAGCCACCAGTTCTCTCCAGGCTTCTAGTTCTTGTGCCTTTTGCATCCAGTTCTTCCTTTCGTGTCGTCTGTGGTCTTAGATAATGGTCTCATAAATAGATTTCATTTTATTTCTTTCTGTGTGTTGTAGTGTTATCTTTGTCGTTAAAATAATAATAGTGTCGAATTAACTAAAATTACAAGTTGATTACGTAAATATACTGAGAACGCTCTATTACTGTCGAGTAGGCTGCGCGACCGCGCGAGGAAGAGTCCCTCTGTAACTCGAAACTAGTAGAGCTTTTCTCAGTACATTTACGTGAGTAACTCGTAATTCTAGTTAATTCAGCTTGTCTCACGATAGTTATAAAAACAACGTCACTGATCGATATTTATAAAAATAACTTATCACTATTTATATTATCAACACACTTTATAAATGATTTATATTAAATATTGTTGCAGGTGCAATGGCTCCAGCAGCAGGGCGCCCGGGCCGCCATACCAACCGCTGCGCCTGCGCCGCCGCCGCAATCTCCCGGTAACTGATACTTACTAGCTCTCACTCATTTCCACCTCTATCTCACCTTCAGGGTGGGAGATCCATGTGTTTTTTTATAACACCATGGAAATCCTCATGGACTTCCCAAGTCGTGGGGACGACGAGGTGGTGTGCTGGACTCTTACCGCCTAAAACCACCGTGGTGTTCCTTCTTTGCCTGTGTCCTTGACCCGAGACGCCCTTGCAGAATTACCACACTGGGCAGGCCTCGACCTACCACTATATTGCGACAGGTCCCACCACGAAGCAGCCCCTACAGGCTGATTTCCTTCCTCGAACAACGCTAACGCCTACTCCCGCCCAGAGATCCAAGCTGGGTGTGATGTGTATGTGAACTTGTATGTTTGTAAACGCACCCACGACACAGGAGAAATACTAATGTGGGGCAACATTTAAAAAAAATGCTTTAATCGAACTTACCACTAAAGACACCGAATATAGTGTAAAACATCACTTGTGTGGTACATAGTACAGTAACACTTAATTCAAAGACAAAGACATGGTTGGTGCGGTGGCTGGGCAACTGGCTGCCGCGCAACGTGTCGCGGGTTCGATTCCCGCACGGAACAACTCTGTGTGATCAACAGATTCTCGTTTCGAGTCTGGGTGTCATGTGTATGTGAACTTGTATGTTTGTAAACGCACCCACGAGGCCACGACACAAGAGAAAATCCTAGTGTTGGGCAACGCATTTATTTTATCCTTTTAGGTACTTTTGAAACGTCAAAATTTATTTATCCGTCAGTCTGTCAGTCAGTGAAGCTTAGTGCTTGTTCCAAAGGGTAGTTTTGAATGGAGAAGAACAAGCAAAAAACACCATTGATACTCTTATTAATTTGTTTTAAATCTCACCGATCTAATTGATCGGTTGATACATAAAACTGGTGAAATATCGATATAACTTTATAATGTGCTCTGCCTTCTTCGGGGATTAAAAGACGTGAAGTTATGTTTGTATATAGCAACGAGCTAGATCAATAGAAAACATAAACTTATTTTTTTCTTAAAATAGAAGTATAAGTATTTTACATCTAAGTGTGGGAGAGCCATGCTTCGGCACGAATGGGCCGGCTCGACCGGAGTGATACCACGGCCTCACAGAAAACCGACGTGAAGCAACGCTTGCGTTGTGTTTCGTCGTGTGAGTGAGGTTACCGGAGGCCCAATTACCTTCCCCTTCCCCAATCTCCCCAATCCCTGAATCCCCAACGATCCTCAAACTCCTAATCCCCAAAAAGCCGGTGACGCACTTGTAACGCCTCTGGTGTTCTAGGTGTCCATGGGCGACGCCGATTGCTTACCATCAGGTGATCCGTCTGCTCGTTTACCGGCTTATATATTCCATAAAAAAAAAAAAAAAAACATTCTAGTCGTCATATTATAAATGCGAAATATTGTATGTTTGCCTGTTTGTTTGTTTGTTATACCTTCATGCAAAAACTGCTAAAGGGATCGGGATGACAATCGGAACAGGGGTATGGAATAACATATAGGCTACTTTTTATTCTACAGAAACGCCAACGAAGCCGCGGGCAGTACGTATATAAAAAAGTCTATAAATACAAAATATTCTTTACATTACATTAAAAATAACATAACATCACGCCTTTTATCTCCGAAAAGGTAGGCAGAGGTGTAAATTACGGCATTTAATGCCACTGTACAATGTAGCAACCACTTTTCACTATTTGTTATGCTATCCTATTGCTATATACCGGGTCCAATGCCAGACTCTATGCTATTACTGAGAATTATAAAAAAAAATCAATAATACTTTGCCCCACCCGGAAATCGAACCCGAGACCCCTTGCTCAGTAGCCACACTTACGACCACTCGGCCAACGAGGCAATCAATAAAAATAAATACTAAGATATACCAGTCAATAGAACAAAACAAAAAAACGTTACATTTTTCCTCAAATCTTTCCTCTAGCATTTCTTACACAAACACATTTAGGTAGAATAGATGGCGTATGTAAAAAATTGTATCAAACGGCTCCATATTCCATATTGATCGACGTTGGAACGAAACGTTAGAAATTTTGGTATTTAAATTACCTATATGTATGTTCATAAATAATTATGTTTCTCTGGATACCACATCACGAATTATAATTTCAAAGCGATATCTAAGTATTGATGTGTTTAGTATTTTATTTGAGCTACGCTGTGGTATAGTTCTCCCGCCCTTTAAACGAAGTTTTACGACCAAAAATAACGAGTATTTTTTTTTAATTGCGTTTTGAAATTGATGTGTGTTGTGTTCTATGATGGATGAACAAGATACTGAAAGTTCTCGTGAGTTCGGTTGGTTTATTATATTTTTTATTTGGCAACAAAAGTTCTCAAAGATAGGTTACTCATTAAACTACTTTTAGGTAGTTTATTGACTTTAATGTCCATATTTTCATTAACATCTCCCAAATTTTAAGTAACTCCTAAGCTAAGATAACGACATTTTGTTGTTCTCCAATCTGTAAGCGACATCTAACGTTACAATAAGGGTTAGGTTAGCCACCCTAAGTATTTTTTTTTTATTAAAAAAATGGTGGTTGAATTACACGGCCATAATTCTGCACCGTGGTTTTACTTACATTTTTATTTTTAATCCTCATGTTTGCTAATTTTTAATAATTTATAAATTAAATAACAGTGCATTTTATCTTTATACGACAATAAACTAGTGCTAAACCTGACTAATTAATTTAAAACAATACCATTTTAAGCGCATATATGAATCATTTTTAAACAGGAAAATATATTTGATACAAATATTTGTGGTTTACGTTTTCGATTCGTATATTATATTATATTATACGTTTGTTTTGCCTCAGAAATGATCGTTTTTAGTGCAGTTTTAGTATTTGTAGTATTAATAACATGTTTTAATAGATAAGTACATAGTGACTATTATTATGATATAAGATTTTTAGTGGTGGGTTAGTGTTGTGTGTAAAGAGTTTGATGGGTAAATATTCGGCTAAAGTTCAAGTATTCGGCCTTTAATTTATAAATAATAGTATCTTTCACATGACAGCATAATTATGTTTTAATTCTTGATGTGAAGCAGAAGTGAACTTTCCAAATCGTTGTGTTTGTAGAAAGAAGTATTCATTTTACAAGTTGAACTGAATAGTATAGCACTGGAAGTGTCTCGAATATTCTGTTATAGATTGTGTATTTTCTTTAAACACTACTAACGCTAACTTTGTCGCGGTGACCTGGAGGTTTAAGACGCTTCTCATGCATGAGGGTGCGGGTTCGAAACCTACCAACGGCAAGTACCAATGTGACTTTTTCCGAGTTACATGTACTTTCTAAGAATATTTAGACACCACTGACAAACGGTGAAGAAAAAGATCTTAAGGAAACCTGGGCTTATAATTTCTAATTATTAGTTTGTAATAGCTAACCCGCATTGAGAAAGCGTAGTGATTAATGCTCAAACCTCCTCCGTGTGAGAAGAGGCTTTGCTCAGCAGTGGGCATTTATAAGCTGTTGATGAACGCTAAATTTCATTTGATATGTGATGTTTTGAATGTGTGTAGTGATATGAAAACAGATGAAAATCGAGGATGATCTCCATTCATGAGCATTACCGGCGCTGTAGAGCAAGAGTAGGCACGGAGTGAGTGCAAGAGTAGAAGTTATATCTGATGATTTTCCCCCATCAAAAAATAATACAATGTAACACCCACTTTTCACCATTTATATTATTAGTCCCATGTAATAGTGGGTGGGCCTATTGCCATATACCGGGCAGAGTTCGAGACTCCGGGCTACTACTGAGATTTTTTTAAAACCCAGTAATACTTGGCCAGACCCCTTTGCCCGGCAGTCGCACTTGCGACCACTCGGCCAACGAGGCAGACCTTAAAGCAGGCATCAAGTGCCGTAATGTGCACCTCTGCCTACCCCTTCGGAGATAAAGGGCGTGATGTTATGTTATGTCAAAAATTAATAATACTTCGATCCCCTTTTTTGCAGTCGATTAATTAATAAAACTTCTAAATATAACAAACACTTATGAAAACCGCGTCAAAATCGGTTCAGCCAATCGCGAATTAATCGCATACACACATACAGGTCAAAAAGCGACAACCTCTTTCTTTAAGTCGGTTAAAAATGCTCCATTCTAGCGTCATCATGCAAATATAAATGTAACATTTTTCAATTTTAAAATTCCCTGTTGTTAGCATTGAGTTTGACAGTTGTGGCCGCTATATGGAAATAGGCTCTCCCCTAATACAGTTGTGTTCGAAATAGAGTATTCTTGTCCGGTTGTTACACTTTAGCCTTGAATGTCGAACCTTATTTTACATGGATATTGAATTTTAAAGTTTTGTCGTTTGTATTATGTATTTGATGTTTCTGGACCCTTCTGGTTCAGTGTTTATCCAGGATAGAATTTTGTAACGCCATCAGGGTGCTTACTCTTGAAACCAATCTCAATGTCAATGCAATATTAATTCAATAAAATCTCAATAATTATTCATTGTCGACACTATACAACCCCTATCGTAACTGTTAAAATAGCATTCAGAGTACGGAATATAAAGCCAAACTCAATACCGTTTACTTCATTCAATATCCACGTAATACGGATGCAATAGGCGCTAGTGTTGCAATTCAAGGGTACGAAATTTCACAATACCAATGTCGATCGATCGGAATTGGACACAAGAGTAAGCCCCTGAAGGGGAAGTTATAGTCTTTATTACTTTAGATAGAAGATTTTAGTCGGTTTGACAACCATGTGCGGCAACCGAATCTTTAAAAATCTTCGAATGTCGTTTTCTTTCATTTCGAAAATAAAGGAATGTTTTCTTTGAGTAAAATTTTCTATCTAAAGTATTAAGAGTACTTTTCCTTTAGGTGGCCATAACAAAAATCCACTCGGTATATGAAGGTTATAAAATAGAGGTTTTCTAATGATTTACAGTATGTCACCAAGCTCTTTCTTCTTTAAGTGAAATGGGTTAAAACTTAAATATTTTAAGTTCTGTAACTAAAAATACCATAAAATATTATATAAAATATTCTTCGGTAACCTCACAGGGCAAGAATATTGATCAAGCGTTGTTTGACACCGGTTTTTTGTGACGCCGGTCGACCCGGCCTATTTAAGGCGAAGCATGGCTCTCCCACTATGTGATTTATCGTTAACCATAATCATATCAGCCCAGGTTGATCCACTATTGGGAATACGCTTCTTCCTTTACTAACATACTTCCATCATAACCCCATTCGCATCATTATCATGTAAAGTCCTTTACGTCAAACGGCAACGTGCCACTTACATCCATTGGCACCCCACGATTCAGATGATGTCGTCTTTCCACCTAGACCTATTTTTTCCGGCTCGAAGACCAGAAGTAGGAACTAGGAATGGGGTAGTTTTTAGTCAGTAAGAGTCTGACACTCCCTTTCCCACAAACCCAAGGCGGGAGAACTAATTGGATGATTTTCCCCCTCAAAAAAAACCTAGACTTATTTTAACCCCTATTTTGTTCCGCCAGTTGGCTCAGCTGGTGTAGGTAGTCCGGTAGCAACGCCAGGCGCTGGAGCGGGGGCCGGCGTGGAGACACAGCTCCAGCAGCTCCAGCTGCAGCGCCAGCAGCACTACCAGCGGCTGCAGCAGCTGCAGGCGCAGCGGGACCATGTCGCACACCATGCGGCCGTCAAACAGGTACATAACATGCTGTATCACCTTTTATACCTCCAAAGTGTCAACAGATAATTATGATCATGTACTGCTAATTGCAAAACCCGTTTTCGATCCGAAACTAAAGGTTTTGATTGAGGTCGATTTTAGTCATTAGTTCTATAGAGTTTATATTTTCTGAAGTATACGTGACGCCCTTATTTTTGTAGTTGTTGATTGAAATAGTCTTGGTTAATATAACTGAAATATTAATGCAAAGATAACAATAAAGTCGTTTAAATGTACAATTTCATGAAAGAAATTACAGTTTCATCTCATTATCAACGATTTGCAACTCCTTCCTACTCTTAAATCGTATTATCGACTGTACAGGTATCTCCAGGTGTAACTCAACATGTAGTAGCTGGCGCCCCCTTGGCGGACCAACCAGTAGACGCAGCACTATTAACTCCCACCACGCCAGACCAACAACCAGGTTAGTACCACACAAATACCCCTAACACACGGTGGAAAATACCCCCCATTTAGGGAGCGTAGTAGAGCATTAAACAATGAGAGTAGTAGCTAAATAGCATGACAACTAATACATAGGTCCAATTCCCTAACCCTAAGAGTTGGCAATGCACTTGTAACACTATTGTTGCGAGAGTCCATGGGCGGCACTGATCACTTAATCAGGTGATCCGTCTATAAAAAAGTAGGATAGACGTCGTCAAATATTGCATGGCCTACGAAGTTGCTGTAACGTGTGTGCATGAGAGAAACAATGGTAAGGAGAAGAGACACACATGGGTATATCTTCCAGGGAATGCTCTCCTAGTTAATCCGAAGACCAAGACAGCCCTGGCTAACATGCTGAGTATAAGGCTGCAAGGTGGCCCCGCTAGTGACCATGAGCCTTCCGCAGCCGGCACGCTGCGCCTGCTGACGGCGGCGCAGGCCCGGCCCGCGCCCGCCGCGCCGCGCCTTCTGCTGCACCACGCCGCGCACCCGCACCACAAGGTACACTGCGCCCGCCATCTGTACTGGCTTCTGTATACGATGTATCGGTTTTGGTTTGTTTATCTTTTCATTTATGAAGTTACTCCTTTGTACTTTGAAAATGATGTAAATTCGAGGGATTTTGTAAACTGGTTTTGGAAGTATTTTATACACTTCAAAAAGATGAAGGAATCTGAAGGATCTTCACAAAAAAAAAATAACTTTATCAAAACGTCATTAGAACCTCATGTGTTTTACAAATACACTTTAAAGGTCAAGTACACATAAAAATTATACATTTTAATTATTTTAAACCCAGTTACGTTACCTATCCCGTACAATCGAGATACCATATATATTTTTACAATTACACATAAACAAATTGATTAATCAACAATTATTATAATACAAATCCCTCTCCCCCCTGTAGGTATACGCGCCCCCCGCCCGGCCCCCGCCTGCGCGTGCGCAATTCTACGGACACAACCCCAACCTCAAACTACCGCCGGACCTGTTCTTACTGGGCTGTGTCTTCCATATTGTGAGTAACTATTTATATTTTAATTTTGCCTTTGAAATAATGAATTAATGTCTGTAAGTACTGTAAAACAGCACATTTACACGTCATCATTTAAAAAAATGTTGTCATCTTGTCTATACTTTTATTAGGTCGAGCTGTAACGAACTAAACACTTATAGCTATTCTTGCCATAAGGAGTAATATCGATGTATACAGTAAAAACAAACAAATAAAGATGTATATACTGAGAAAAGCTCTACTAGTTTCGAACCACAGGGGGGTTCTTCCTCATGAGCAGCGTGCGCAGTCGCGGCGACGTCGCGCAGCTCAGTGATTTTAGTTAATTTAATATGTCTCACGATAGTTAATATAAAAACAAAAAAAGATGTAAATTTTTAGGTTAAAAAAAAAATGTTTGAAATACATATATGGCACATGAAAAATGAAGAAGGTAATAATTTGGGCTGATTGTTTGTTTACCGATTATTCCGCTACCCACCCACTGATTGGCAGGTATCTAATAAGGTTCTAATGAATAATTTTGTATCGAACTTATAATTTCTAAATCGCCAACCCGCATTGAGCAAGCGCGGTGATTAATGCTCAATCCTGCTCCGTGTGAGAAGAGGCCGTTGGTCAGCAGTGGCTACTTGATACTACTTGATTAGTGGGCTGTTGATGATGCTGTTCATTAGATATGTCCATTTCTGCTGATGATGAAGGCATTTATGATTAGAAACGTGTTCTTAGTTATTTAACTATGAATTTATAAACGAATGTCATTCTAGACTAACCTATTTCTCATGTAACTTCGTTTCCAGGTGGAGTACCAACAGTCGTGGGGCGCCGACCGCGTGGCTCGCTGGGGCGAGGCCATCCAACGCCGCGGCGGGGAACTGGAGCCGGTCTACTGCGCACGGGTCACTCACGTACTCTGTGAGACACAGAAACATGGAGTCGTTATGCAGGTACACTATTTTATTAAACACAACAAACAGTTGTTACTGCTAGTTGACAACTAGTCAAATTCAATACTTTTATCGAAACGTCAAAAACTATTCTGTTCTATGAATTTTGTACGAAATACCATCTTATGACGTCATCATATTTACGCGTCAAATAGCACGCTTATATCTAAAAAATGCTAGAACAAATCGAAAATTAAGTATATCGTCAAATCAATGAATGAAAGTGTAACTATTTTTCAATATTTAATTGGACTGAAAAATCAAAATAATTTATTTTAAACCCACGAAACTACCCAATTGACACGTCTATCAACTGGCCCAATTGAAGTTTCTATGCTTCGTTCTATTTTAAATTTCGCGCCTGTAAGAGAACGAGTGATTCGGGGATGTGGGAGTAAGTTAGGACAAAAATTTACCCAGTAATTCCTTGGCGTCTTATTTATAATGTAAAGACTTGGTGGGTGAACATGTTCTAAATAAGAAGGCGAATAACGATCTGTGTCATTTATTTGGAATCACGGCAAATATGTATAGTGGATTTTTACGACTCAATATCTTGTTATATTGTACTTCATTTAATTTCTACTCTTTTAATGATAGTGTTAATTATGTCGCACTTACAGTCCACCAGTCTCTTACTATATAATTATCATGATGATCTCCATAAGTCTACATGGTTTCTCTAGTGAGATTTTCGTTCACAAATCTCACCTAAGAAACTGTGTAGATTTGTGGCGACTATGTCTCTGGCTCGCAACACGCTTGCGAACCTGGCGCGCATGCGTGCAAACACGCCTTTTTAAGTGTAATAATATCCCTACAGTCGGGTAAAAATAAATGAAGATCTTGTAAACTATTACTAGATATTTTATAGCTATGTATATTTAACCAGGCTCTCCGCGACGCCAAGCGCTGCGTGACGGCGTACTGGCTGTCGGACGCCATGTTGCGGCGCGGCGTGGTGCCGCCGTGGTTAGCGTTACACCTGCCGTCCATGTACGCGGCGCGCGACCGCCCCGCCAGGCACCATCGCGCCGCCATCTCGGGCTGGAGGCACGACGAGAGGGACCGTGTCACGTTCTGTATTGAACATATTGGGGCCAAGGTATCATTGATTACAAATACAATTTAGCCATTTGAACTATTTTAGAAAAGCTTCACTAGTTTTAAACAATAGTTGCACCGATTGGTGGTGGATGTCCCACCCACACGCACGAAACGCTTCGCATCAAGCTTCCTTGTACGCACAAGGACTGTTAAGGAGTGAAATTCTTTGCCCGACTCTGTGTTTACTGAAGGTATGGGGTGTCTTCAAGGCCCGAGTAAATAGGTCGCTTATGGGACGACGTGCTCCATCGTAGACCGCATCATCGGTTACCACCAGGCGAGATATTTGTCAAACGTCGGCTCATCAAATATAACTTTGTTTACCTGATGATAAGCAATCGGCGCCGTCCATTGACATAGTATCAGAGAAGTTACAATTAACCTCTTAAATTTATTAACTGTTCAATTCCCAAGCAGTCACCGACGACCACTCTCCACTAACTCTATTATAGACCTTATTTCCAATGTTTAGAGACTACTTTTGTATGAAATATTGGGTATGATCTAATAAGGTTAGATGTTTGAGGATTAAGATTACGGAGTGGGAAATTGGATTTTCCGTAACTTGATTTACATGGCGAAACATGGCAAGTGAGGTTTCACGCCTGTTTTCTGTGAGGCCATTGTATTTTTTTTTTCATCTCTAGTAATATCTTCTTGTATAAAGTACATGAATTTGTATAATTGCAATTTTACTCTTTGCGCATTCAACGCTTTACTTATTAGACCAGTTCGCGATTGACCGTACAAGTGTGCACACAAGTCATTTTAATATCAAGTATTGTTTTAATAAATTTCTATATTTCAACAAGTTTTATTTATCAAGATTATCAGTAATCAAGACAAGAGCATCAGCTCCAACATTGGTCCTTCGAGCCGGATTTATTTCGTTGCGGGATTCAAGACAGTTATTCATGTCCCTGGGACGCGCCGGACTTCAATGTTCCGGTGTTTTCATTGTTATATCTACTGTAGATCCTGGCTTACAGGAGTTGCAGCTGTTTTAAGAGGTTGTGGCGGGCTTGTCCCATTAAAGAAGGTCATGCTATCACTGGATGGAGACTTCAATGTTTTTTTTTATGGCATAAGTCGGTAAACGAGCAGACGGATCACCTGATGGTAAGCAATCGGCGTCGCCCATGGACACCTGGAACACCAGAGGCGTTACAAGTGCGTTACCGGCGTTTTGGGGATTAGGAGTTTGAGAAACGTTGGGGATTCAGGAATTGGGGAGATTGGGGAAGGGGAGGGTAATTGGGCCTCCGGTAACCTCACTCACAAGACGAAACACAACGCAAGCGTTGCTTCACGTCGGTTTTCTGTGAGGCCGTGGTATCACCCACCCACACTTAAATGTTAATTAACTTAATGTTAATTTACATTCGTTATTTCGTTCCAGCTAACTCCATACATGACTCGAGACAACACGGTACTGATCTGCAAGCGTGCGGAGGGCAACAAGTACAGACGAGCGAGGGAGTGGGGGATACCAGTCGTTACTGCCGCCTGGCTTACTGATCTACTACTCGGGAACATGAGCGCGCTCTCACAGGTAATGTATATTTATATTAATTTTTTTTTTTAAGAAAACGTTACGCCACTCTAGGATTTTCTCCTGTGTCGTGGGTACTGTTATAAGTTATTATAGCCCCGACATTTAAAATAAAACAGCTGACACCGCATCCCCGTTGCTCACGTTGATGCGCCACGTTTACCTAACATTACACGTTTCATTTCATATAGTAGAATGACACACTTACTTTGGACCTCGTGGCGGACACACTAAGGGTTTTGTAATTTTACTTATTATATTTCTGGACATTCTAAAAGGTGTTTTAAGTGAGTAAGACTTTACCTGATAACAGTACGTTTACACAAATACAAGTTCACATAAATTTTGGAAACACCCAGACTCGGAACAACAATCTTTGAATCACACAAAGAGTCCGTGCGGGAATGGAACCTGCGACACAGCGCGGCAGCCAGTTACCGCGCCACCCGTGCAGTCCAATTCCCTCGATTTCATACAACTTTTCTATATATTACTGGGTGTTTTACCACGACCTACAAAATCGATGTTTTTTCGGTCACGACCCACTTGCTCATTACACAAAAAAGACGGTTTTGAAATAAAACCCCCAAGTAAATACCCTTCTCAAAGCGGTGATCAGCGTGATTATAAACTGAGAAGGGTCTCAACTGGAGGATGCTTTTGACCTACTCCTCCTACACAGTATTTTTATTGTTAGGAAAATAATTAATACTATTTTTTGTATACAGATCGAGAACGCAAAGTACCAGCAGTTCAATCTGACCAGCCCATTCCGTATGGATTACAGCTTAGTGTCGCATTTGATGAGTGAGTATTATATATTTCTTACTATGTACGCTGTCACATTCAGGTCTAATTTCATTGACTTCTGTAAACGTTGGAAAACGAAATCCTATGCTTGAACCAAAATAATTGTTCGGTTTTCGCAGTTGCTAACGCTATTATCTAAAAAAATATTTTGATAATCATCGAAATTTAACTTCTAATTACATATTGTAATAGTCAGACCAGTGCCCTTAGGCAAAGGCCACTTTAGCGCTTGTCTACAGAGAGAGTAGAACGGGGTGGTTTTTAGTCAGTAAGAGTCTGACACTCCCTCCCGCCTCACCCGGGCGGGAGAAGTAATTCGATGATTTTTCCCCCCTTAAAAAAAATGGACATGACTCACAAGTGTCAAAATTTACGTCAATTCTGTATAATTTGGTTTTCTATTCTACATGTAGTATTCTAAATGGCATTTGGCTACAGCTGCAGTAAAAACATTATTTTATTATAGATGCTTGGAAAATGCCAATAAACATAACGCAAGAATCCCACGAGCGTGCGAAGCGGTCTGCCGCGGCGGCCTGCGTGGCGGCCGGAGGACGGAGGGCGAAGCGCCCTCGTCTCTCCTCCCCGCCGCCCGCGCCGCCCACTCCCAGCGGGGCTCCGCCACAGCCCCCGCCCTTGCACTTAGCTCCAAGAGTCGCCTTCTCAGCACTAACGCCTAATATGCAACATAAATTAGCTGCTATTGTCAGGTGGGTACCATATTTTTAAATTTAAATAGGTAGTGTATTCCAAGGAAGTAAAGATTTCTTATTAGTAAGGATTTTTAGACATCTACAGTACAAAAGTATGTATGACAAAAACTATATAGAGTTGATGTCATTCAGGAATTGCAGCACCAACTCTGCATTCATAATGGTTGCTTGCAATCTCCAGGTCCAATTCGACATATTTTTTGTTGCATAGACCATTTATCTAGTCATAAAACATCACTCTAGAAATAATAAGAGCAGCGAGTAAATTAAAATTTAATTTCAGTGATAATGGTTCTGATGACGATATTGATAATGATGCCGATGATGAAAACAAAAGTCATGATCACGAAGATGAACAAGATAATTAAGAAATAGATTTAATTACCACTATAGGTTATTTTCTCTTTTCCTTATTGCATCAAAATTTGTAACTTCTAGTTTGTAGGGTTCAAGGAGTACTGTAATGTTATAGTTTACTGATAGAGTAATATGGTATATTTAAATAATCATTAATAAGTATATTTTAGTTCGGATATAGCGGTCATTACTAATCAAGTTACTAATGCCTTGTTTGCACTATGCTAGTATTTTAGAAACTGGCAAACACCGCGAGGACACCGGTGACCGCAACCTACTGTTCTTTAATTGTGTCTATAATGACGGTACTCGACGAGTTAAGTATTTAGTAACTCTTTCTCGCTTCGATTTTGGCACAGAAGCGAGAGGGATATACTAAACACTCGCTACTCGGCTAAAATAATAGCATAGTGCGAATCTTATATATAGTTACTTTAGCCATAAATTGTTGTGTTCATAATTCGAAAGTAAAATGAGTTTATACATTGTGCGAAACTATATAGTTTTAGTATTAGCATAGACTAATATGGGCATATATTTTTACAGACAACTGGGCGGCCTCGTGGTGTCTTCTGCAGCTGAGGCCACACACCTCGTGATGGAGAAGTTAGTGAGAACGTCCAAACTGATCAGTAGCCTCGTCACGGTCAAACATTTACTCACACCGGAGTGGATCCTAGAGAGTCAGAGACTGAACAAGTTCGCAGACGAAGCGAAACACGGCCTTAGAGACGAGGCCTTCAACAAAATGTTCAAGTGTGATGTATCAGAAGTATTACTCTGCGGGGAAATGAGGAAGAAACTCTTCGAAGGCGTCACCTTCTTCCTTACACCTTGCGTCAAACCCTCCCGCGGTGCTCTCACAGAAATGATAGAACTTTGCGGCGGGAAAGTCGAGAAAAATCGCCGGTCGTACGTCTCCATACAAGAAATGCATAATCAGAAGAAATACAGCTACTTAGTCCTCACAGTACCCAACGACCTACATCTAGTTTACTATCTACTTCAATCTGAAAAAACTCTAAATGTTGTCTGCAGTACTGAAGTAGTGCTATCCGCCATTATGAGGCAGAAGTTAGAAGTTGAAGAGTTTCTCGTCAAAATAGACTAATGTTCCTCCTTTCATCTATCAGATACATTATCATAGTTAGGTATTACAAATTTTGTCGTTTTACAATTTTATGAACTATTGACAATATTTGAATAAAGTTTATATGATACAGAGTTCCATAAATATACGTTACGACTATAGATAAATATTCTCTATTTCTGATCTATTATTATTTTGACTTTCGTCTTTATCGAAACATGATTTTTTTGTGAACGAATAAAGTCCTTATTATGTTTCTCTTTTATTTTGGAATCTCTGTATTTTTTATAATTTGTTCTTGTTAAAAGTTTCATTTTAAGTTCAATTTATATACTTTGTTAAAGAAATTTAAAAGAATGCATGTTGCGTCGTTTAAATGTAAGCAGAAGTTTTCGAAATATTTTTGTCAGTTGTAAATAGATGCTTTAAAGGTCTGGACCATGATGTGTATAAATTAAAAAAGAGAACTTGAGAAGTTATATTAAACTATGTTTTTAATTAATACAGTCTTTTATTTAAGTTCATTTAACCCTTATCTTTGACTGCTGGACAAAGAAAAATTAACTACAATGGCATAAAAGAAATATTTGGGTCACACAAACCAATAAAAACATTCGTTACTCATTCACTTCTCCATTTAACAATGAATCAGTTTCAATTCATCACATAGTAGTAGTAGAGGTGTACCAAAAGTGCCAGAGACGAGGTACTGAAGACGACATCACTTCAAGGATCGCCAAAGCCCGAGCTACATTCGCGCAGCTGAGACCTGTGTGGTAGACACGAAAACTGATCAGAAGGATTAAGCTGAAAATCCAATGTAAAGTCAGTTCTGCTCTTTTTTTAAGGGGGGAAAAGTCATCGATAACTTCTACCGCCTGGTTGAGGCGGGAGGAAGTGTCAGACTCTTACTGACTAAAAACCACGCCGTTCCTACTGCACTTCCAGCCGGAGCCCCGGTAACACGTTGGGTTCTCCGCGGCTCATCAGTTCAGGGGGTGCTTACTCTTGAAACCAATCTCAATGTCAATGCAATTTCAATCCAATAAAATCTCAATAAGTATCCAATGTTAAAACTATACAACCCCTATCGTAGCTGCTAAAGTAGCATTTAGAGTACGGAATATAAAGCCAAACTCAATTCCATTTAGTTCATGAAATATCCACGCAATACGGATGCAAAGGCGCTAGTGTTACAACTCAAGAGTACAAAATTTCACAATGTCAATGTCGATCGATCGGAATTGGATTCAAGAGTAAGCACCCTGCTCTATGAGTGCGAAACGTGGAAGGCAAATATAATAAGTATAGGGAAAGTGGAAGGTGACCAAACACATGTCACGTCAGCTTCAAGTTGTCAACCGATGCATGCATCGCATTCTAGGAATTTACTGGCCCGAGACCATCTCCAACGTAAAGTTTTGTGAGAAATGCCACGAAAGCCTAATAGGCCGTCAGATCAAGCGCCTCAAGTGGGCCACACGCTAAGGGGTCCCGACCACATACGCAAGCAAGCCTTGGAATGGAGTCTGCAAGGGAAAAGGAAACGTGGCCGTCCTCGGCAAACCTGGCGTAGCACCGTACTGGCGGAAGCGAGAGCGAACTCCGATACCTATTAGGTCTGTGGATATTCCGGGTGGGAGAAGTCATTGGTTGATTTACCCCGCTTAAAAAAAAGGTCTGTATTTGACCTATGAAATAGCTGATCTGCAGTACTGGCCTTTTCAAATCAAAATCATTTTTGTTTGATTACGAATTCTCATTTCAAATTAATTTTATTTTAAAAGCATAATTTTTTTTCATGAATACTTTTTTGTTTATAAAATGCAACGAAAATGTTACACCAATCAAGTGTTATATTTACAATTATTATTCCAATAATTATGGAATATAAATATTTATCGTTATGGTAGCAACCCGGTACAAGCGGCACGGCGGCACGCAACAGCAACATCAATGACGTTTACGGAGCTAACACCACAAACGCACAACCTGCTATTGGTTTGCTCGCTTCCTTTCTAGAAATTTCGAACTGAAAAATGAACCTCGCAGGCGGCCGAAGACTGGTCGAGAACTTGAGAATGACGAATTAAGGTCGATCGTGGAAGCTGATGATACACAATCTACGGATGAATTACAAGGCCTGAATTACACTATACTATAACTGATGGTCATACTAGGTCTCGGGTGTAACCCCTAAACGGATGACACCCGGGGCGCCCCCCCCCTTCCTTATGGCTACACTACTGACTAGACACCCTGTTTGAATATCAAGCTCCAGGTGTGTTGCTGATGGACTAGACTAATAAAAGAGTTCGTTATCATGAGAAAAGACTGTATTTGATAGGTATTGACTGTAGTCAGCCGATATGTGCGCACGTGTATCGTGTTTGGCGAGCCAGTAAATGAATGACCGCCGATCACATCGCTCGCGGGCCACGTATGTATGGCGGTGAGCCCGATGTGACGGCAGGAACGCACCCACTAACTCAATGATCGCCTGCATCAAGTACCTACGCGTCGAGACGTGTCTTGCACTGCTCAACAGACACACAAAAATGAAGGAATTTTGAACCGCATTGTTACCTGCGATGAAAAATGGATTCTGTTTAATAACCGCAAGCATTCAGCAAGTTGGTTGGTTGGTTCAGTACCTAAGCAATGCCCTAAACGCAAACTTACCCCTACAAAAGTGATTCATCACAGCTTCTTACCAAACTGTATAGAACTGAACACAATGATGGAGAAGCTGGCACATCTCCAATCAGCAGACTGCCTCGTGGGCCGAGTGGTCGCAAGTGTGACTACGGGGCAAGGCGGGTTCGATTCCCGGGCCGGGGAAATAATACAAGGTTTTCAAAAAAATATCTCAGTAGTAGCACGGAGTCTGGAATTGTGCCCACTAGGTATATGGCAAATTGGCAATAGGCTCGCCCCTATTAAGTACATGAGACTCAAACATGAATAGTGAAAAGAGGGTGTTACAGTGTGCAGTGTGCAGTGCAGTGGCATTAAGTGCTGTATTGTGCACCTCTGCCTATCCCTTCGGGAATAAAAGGCGTCATGTTGTGTTGTAAAAAAATCGTTTAAATTTTTCCATACAAAACGGCAATTTCACAGGTTTCACCTATTATGACGTGGAGCGAGGTGAATTGTGTTGGCCCGGAGGTTTAGACATCGCTTCTCATGCATGAGTGTGCGGGTGTGAAATAGGTCTCACACCCGTTGGTAGGCCAACGGCAAGTATCAATGTGACTTTTTCCGAGTTATATGTACTTTCTAAGATTATTGAGACACCACTGACAAACGGTGAAGGAAAACATCGTGAGGAAACCTGGGCTTATAATTTCTAATTATAATAGTTTGAAATCGCCAACCTGCATTGAGCAAGAGTGGTGATTAATGCTCAAACCTTCTCCGTGTGAAAAGAGGCTTTGCTCAGCAGTGGGCATTATGGGCTGTTGATGATGATGATGATGATGATAATGAACCGTTAGTTACGTTGCTCTTACGTGCGTGCGTCATCGCAAGGATGCAAACTTGAGACCAGTGTCGGGTACTTACCTACTGTTGGCAGTCGCTTTTATGTTGCCACCTTGTGGTTCCTTTAATTATTTTTTGTTGTTGTTATTGTTTTTTATCATTCTATGTTTGTGTATTTGGAGCATCATGCCTAATGGCAAATAAATTATTTTTCCTTTATTTCTTTCTTAGTTAGAAAATATCCTCAGGATCAGTTAATTTGAGGTGAAGCGTGAAGCTAAGGGCAGGTCACGATGAAGAGCTTCAGTGGACGCCCTCTACCATTTAGGAGACACAGGAGTACTTTTGTTACCCCTCTTATTACGTCATGAAGTCCGAGTACCATGGAATAAATAATGTATTTTTGTAAACTTATTATATGTTTGAAGTTTTGTAAATGGGTTCAGTTTCGCCAAGGTCAGTTCCACCCCCTTCCTCAAATAGCAAAACATGCCTTTACTAAAGTGTATCTATAGGGTTACGAAGATTTGGTTATTTTTGCTAATCTAGCTTTAGTTTTCGATATATTGCGAGATTTGTATAGATTGATGAAATGGCAATAGGCTCACCCACTATTACATGGGACTCAACATAAATAGTGAAAAGTGGTTGTTACATTTTACAGTGGCATTAAGTGCCGTAGGCAATGTGCACCTCTGCCCACCCCTTCGGGGATAAAAGGCATGATGTTGTTATATTATGATAGAAAACTTAATTTATTATTTCAGGGGCTGTATGTGCATTCCTTTGTAGGACATTTCTGGATCTTGTTTTTTTTATGGAATATTTGGCAAACGAGCAGACGGATCACCTGATGGTAAGCGATCAGTGCCGCCCATGGACACCCGCAACACCAGAGGAGTTACAGGTGCGTTGCTGGCGTTTTAAAAAGGCATACGCTCTTTTCTTGAAGGTTTGAAGGATAGGAAGCAAGGAATAAAACAAAATTTTCAATAAGTATAACATAAATTTATTACAGTAACGTCTTACATACAGCGTGTTTGTCACCAAACGGCGCGCTAATAATCATAATATATTATTAATTTCAGTTAATTTACTCTTGCTACTAGACAATCGAGTACCACATTAAAAACCATAATTTCATCAATTTAATCTCTTAACTTCGAATTAAAATAACATTTCATTTGATTCTAGTTTTTAATTTCATTAATACAGCTGCATAATGGTTTAATATGGAAGCAATTTAAAAATGAGAGTTTTCGTTTAAAGCTCACGAAGTGGCGCTAGTATCGATAGCCGCTAAGGCCCCAGGCGTCGCTGTCGATAAGTTGAACTGACCAAAGATTCATAAGCAAATATTCCATTGGGCCAGCGACACTAGCGCCGCCAGTGGCATGAAAATCGTCATCAAATGTATATGATCGCGCAATAAACATTCATACAATCTATATTGGAATTTACAAGTCTTTATAACTTACATAGGAATACTTTTCATTAACATTCTTATACCAACATATACATATAGGTCGAGATACATAGCTTGCTTTGGTTTAAACCCCAATCTATTTACATATGGCAGGTCAACTGCTTTGATCGACTTTCAACTTTATTTTTTTTTAATACAGTCTAAAATCGTATCAATATTATTTGACAAAGTCTACTTGCATGACCTATAACTTCATTATTGCTATTTAAGTATTTATATTGAGCTTATTTCCTGCCATTTTTAGTGAGATTGAGATATTTATTACCAAAGCTAGCCTTCCAAGTAGAAACTGGCCTCATTAGAGACAGCGCATTCGATCTTACTAGACAGACATGAGCATATACAGCTACATATCTTCTAAATATACTAAATTTCATAACAATATCGATACTTTTAACAAAATACGCTGTCGGAACACCAGTTAAATACAATTACCTCTTCAAAAATGAGATTATGATTTAATGATAGCTTCGTAAGCCTGGAATATACAGGACGCGACTTCTACAGTCCTAGACTTCAAACTGAGCGTCGCTTCTGGGTTACCAGGTTGAAGTTTCAACTCTAGGAGTACCCAAATATTGTTAGTAAGTTTTAGAGATTGGTAGAGCATATCCTGGCCTTCCACGTTTCTTTTGGCGATAGTGAATATGTTGTTCAGCGTCATTTTCTGAGCGATAGAGTCTGCGTTGCCTGTAACGTTGGATAGTGTGTGTTGGACCTCGTTAGCGGCGGGGATCTCTTTCCATGTCGTTAAAAATACTCGTTTGTCAAGTTGTCCGTCCTCAGTGAACAGTATGTGGACGGGAATGAGGCACGCGAAGTAGAACACGTCTACGTTGTTTTTGATTGCGACCTGCAAGGAAATTGTGATGGATTAGTTTTTTTTCAACAGTAAAAAAGATTTTCTAATTGTTGTTGCAGCAATTTTGCCCATCTAACTGTAATATTCGACTGCACGGTTGTCGCGGCAACCGGCTGCCGCGCGACGTGTCGCGGGTTCGATTTCCGCACGGAACAATTATTTGAGTGATCCACAGATTGTTGTTCCGGGTCTGGGTGTCATGTGTATGTGAACTTGTATTTTTGTAAACGCACCCATGACGCAGGAGAAAATCCTAGAGCGGGACAATGTTTAAAAAAAATATGCTGCCGATTTTAAAATTTTCAGAATCGCAATGTTCGCTTATCTAACACAGATCCACGTTAAAATCTAGCTAAGATATAAAATTCATGTCGTAATTTTAAGCATTATTCGATTATAGAATGATTAGTTATGCTATGCTGGCTTATTATAAACATTATGAGAATGTTTGTAATAAGCCAGCATGGTGTATTTTCGACATATTACAAAAGACTACACTACAATAATTTGAAAGTATCGCATGATTACCTGTAGATTATTAAGTGGTTCCATCCTCTGCACGGGTCCGGTAGTGGCGAGTGCCAGCGGGGCGTCGGCCGCCGCCCCGGCCGGTACAGCGCCGACACTCAGACCGCCCGACGGGAACACGCCGAAACTGGAATAGTATAATTACAGATAACAAATCTTACGCAGTTGTTAATGCTAATCAAAAGTCAGAATCGAAATCCTAGAATCCCAAATCAGAGAGTAGACAGATTATAATAATTTAGGGCATTTAAACTGACAAATCAAAGTCAAGTATGGGAGAGGAGCCATGCTTCAGCACGAATAGGCCGCCTCGACCGGAGTGATACCACGAGAAGCCGGCCGAGAAGAAAACCATAGTGAAACAACGCTTGCATTGTGTTTCGTCGTGTGAGTTACTGTTACTGGAGGCCCAATTTACTCAATGCCTGAATCCCAAAGAATCGTTAAATTCCCAATTGGACAATATGTTGGTTTAGTTACACTACTGACCTGTTCTTGTTAAGCTGTATGGCGAACCCGCTCATGGCCTGCATGGCCTTGTTGGTGAACGTCATCTCCATACGAGGCTGGCCGTTCTGGCGACTGAATGTACCCCAGATTTCTAGACCTGTAACAAATTACATAACATAACATCACGCCTTTTTATCCCTGAAGGGATAGGCAGAGGTGCACATGACGGCACTTAATGCCACTGTACAATGTAACACCCACTTTTCTCTATTTATGTTATGAGTCCCATGTGATAGGAGGTTAGTGAATTTATTGTCCAATACCTAATAATAATAAATACATCAGACAGTCTAAAGACTTAACTACTAAAATCAACCCTAAATAAATGAGAATAGCCTACCTTTCCCCTTGTCAGCAGGCAGCCAGCATTGTTTGGGCGGGACGTACGATGCGGGCGCGGTAGTGACTCCGAATATATCGCCCAGTAGACCCGTAGTGCCTGACGTAGGACCTGGCTCCGGACCTCCGCCCAACTGTAATATATTTTATATTTATATCATTGCTCAGTACAATATACCTATCGGTCATAGGTCGGGATCGCCACAACTGTTTAACTTGTATTTTGTTTCCCGTTTAGAACTTTCTTCAGTTTTGAATATAAAAACGTATCAAAATCCGTTACGTAGTTTTAAAGATCTAAGCATACATAGGGACAGACAGACGGCGGATAGCGACTTTGTGTTATACTATGTAGTGATATTAAAAAAATGGAATCTATACTAATATTATAAAGCTGAAGAGTTTGTTTTTTTGTTTGTTTGTTTGAACGCGCTAATCTCCGTAACTACAAGTCTGATTTGAATCTTTTTGTGTTGGATAGCGCATTTATCGAGGAAGATATATCTTATATATATGAGCTATAGAGGCTATAAAACACTCTACGACCAATAGGAGCTGAGCAGAGCGTGTGAAACCGCGCGGAAATAGCTAGTTAACAAATAAATTTAATTAGAAACATTACTTACAAGTACGTCCAGGCCACCAGCCAGTAAATCCAGGTTGGAGGTAGGAGCGGGTGCGGGGGGAGGGCCACCGATATCCATGGAGAGCAAGTCGCCGATGAGAGACTCCTGAAATAATGAACTTTAATCTTTAGATAAGGATAACTATATTTTGCAACTGGATAATTATTCAGTGGTATTTCGGACTGCGTGTCTACGTGAGACACAATATGTTTTCTATTGTGTATCATATACAGTGTTGGATAAGACCTATTTTCCTATGTTCCTGATAACTACTAAAAATCTTTACAACAAGATTTGTATAATGTAAATTGGTATGTTTTACCCATTGAAAATCATCCCTCATACAAAAGTAGTCTCTAAACATTGGAGATAAGGTGTGTAATGTAGTTAGTGGAGAGTGGTGACCGCTTTGGGATATACCTATGGGTTAAACTCAGAATCCCTCCTCTCCTTGAAGTTAGGTAAAAATTTGCTCTAACGAGTCCTCAACTTGATGGAAATAACTCTTATATGTGTATAGTACTAATAGATGATATTAAAATAATAATATGTAGCATTCAGACTCACGCCATGTAGTTGGTTAGGTATGACAGTAGGTTGCGCGGGCTCCTCGTGGGTGGATGACCCGCCGCGCGCCGGGAGGGACTTACGGACTCCTGCACCACGACCTGGACACGTACACACAATATTTCATTTTTATTTTTGTATAATTGTATAATAAAATCATACCTAGATATAACGAATCAAAGTTTAGGAGCGTAAAGTAGAGTGGGGGCTAAAACGTCATTTCTACGTATAAAATGTACATAGAAGTGACGTCACGCAACTTTTCAAATCAATATACCGTCGAAAATATTCGTTTTTATAAAAAAATATAAAATACGTGTGTAATGATTTAAAATAATCTACCAGACGGACATTAAAATAAAAATTAGTCATCTACCCTATTACCCTCACTCACCCCCTCTCCAATCTCCCCAAATTCCCAACAATCTTCAAATTCCTAATCCCCAGATGGCCCGCAACACACTTGTAACGCCTTTGGTGTTCCAGGTGTCCATGGGCGACGCCGATTGCTTACCATCAGGTGATCCGTCTGCTCGTATACCGGCTTATCCCATACAAAAAGCTACAAGACGTCCACCGACTAAAGGTCTCCTCGTGACTTCCAGAGCTTGTTAGCTGACTCCAATAATTTCTATCAGCGTAAAACCTGTTAATTCACAATTCCTTCTTGACGTACCTTCAACAAAAGCTGTAGGTGGCTTATGGTACACGGATGCAAGTGAGCTAATATGACAGATGAGTTCGTCCAGTAGAGTGGGCTCCAGTAGGTCTGTCTCCTCGGAGATGAGAGGTTTGTCAGCGAGGACCACTTCCTTGGCGGCCGCCGGGTCTGTTGATAGGAGACGCCAGTAGATGAAGCCGCGGTCCCTGCAAGGTACATTAAATAAGATCCAAATTGAAAAAGTAGACTCGGGTTAAGCAAAGTTTTGATTGTCATCAACCGTTAGTTGTCGTGGTAGCCCTGAGGTTAAGGCACCATGGCATCAAGGTAGGCTTCTCATGCATGATGGTGCGGGTTAGAAACGGCAAAGTATCACTGTGACTTTTTCCGAGTTATATGTAATTTCTAAGATTATCTAGTCGTCTCTGACAAACGGTGACATGATGAACTTACAATTTCTAATTATAAGTTAGAAATTCACCAACCGACTTCTAACCTACCAGTGGGTGTTTAAGGTATATATATATAAGTATGTATGACTAATAATAGTTACTTTTTGCTTTTTAGTTTATACTTTTCGTTTTTTTATTATTATTTATTATATTGTTTTTTTCCTGTTGTTTTTATTGTTATTCTATGTTTGTGTATTTGGAGCATCATGTCTAATGGCAAATAAATTATTTTTCCTTCTTTCTTAGTTATTCTTGTCCTCTGGATTAAAACTTTACAATAAGTTATTGAGACCAACGTCGGTCAAGTGCCTGTATGCGCAACAACCCATACAAATCGCGTCGGGTTTGATTACTGGGTCGGGCAAAGTATTATTTATTTATTAATTAACACAAAATAATTCTCACCTCAAGTCCGGGTTATCAGAGTCCTGTGTAGCGAGACTAAGTACATGTTGCACTAGTTCCTGTGTGTCTGCTGGACGCTTCAGGAACAACTTCACCACCGCCGTCAGTAACTGGAGCTGGACCTGGAAACGAGAACAGCTTATATTAGTACATAACATCACGCCTTTTATTTCCGAAGGGGAAGATAGAGGTGCACACTACGGCACTTAGACCCACTGTACAATGTAACACCCACTTTTCACTATTTATGTTATGAGTCCCATATAATAGGGGGTGAGCTTATTGTATTATTAGTACCTACATATTGATAAAAATCTAAACAGTTCTCTTTTAAGAAATACTTAAAAATTAAACTACTCCTTGTCGTGGTGGCCAGGGGGGTTCGAAACCTACCAATGGCAAGTATTAACTCGTCGAGTACCGGTTTCGCAGACACAATTATAGAACAATAGGCTGCGGTCACCGGTGACCGCTTGGTGTTTGACAGTTTAATGTGACCTTTTCAGAGTTATATGTACTTTTTCAGATTATTTAGACACCACTGACAAACGATGAAGGAAAACATCGTGAGGAAACCTCGGCTTATAACTTCTAATTATAAGTTTGTAATCGCCAACCCGCATTGAGCAAGCGTGGTGATTAATGCACAAACCTTCTCCGTGTGAGAAGAGGCTTTGCTCAGCAGTGGGCATTTATAGGCTGTTGATGATGATGATGAAACTACTCCGAAGAAGATTGAATGATTATTAAAAATGAAATCATTGAGGGTACAATTTTTTTTTTATATAACTTGCTTCTCCCAGCTGCTTCGCCCGCGGGCCCGTGGGATAAAGCATAACCGTGGCCTCTGTATAACCCAAGATCATAATCTACCCCTGTATAAGGTTTTTTAACATTTTTATTTTTTTCTTTGATAAGAACCTTCTTCTTAACAAACAGAACACAAAGTAAAATCAATCCATCCGTTCACGCGTGATGGCGTGACTAAGGCATATAGGGATTCATTTTTATATAGATTATTATATATTACACATAATTATGTTCTGTGTATACCTGTGCATTCTCATCATGGAATCCTTCGAGGAACGAGTCGAGCAACTCATCAGCATTATCGATACGCTCGGCATATTCACCCACGATCCAGACCTATAAGAAAGTGGAAAAAGTATTATTAAAGCCTTTTTACTTTAAAACTAGACTTGTGTTTATAAAATCAATTACTTTCTAGTATGAGTAGAAATAGAAACCCACTTTTAATCGTTTATGTTATTAGGATCTCAATGTAACATGACAAGCCGTGTCCAACATTGATGTCAGACCCTAGCGGAGGATTAGCCTTAACAGTTTTTATCGGCAATTAAAGACTTAATATTATTACTATGTTCAACGTCAAGATGTTTTATAGTCGAATTAAAAATCAAACCTGCAACATAAAGGTCAAACTCTATACCAAACAACACTAATATTTTAAAGCCTATCCATCAAAATTCCAACCTCAAAAAGTAGCTTACCATGGAAGCCCTGGCCTCAGGCTCGTCCAGCGTGTCCAGGTTCTCACACAGAGTGCTGATGATGCTCTCGTACTTGTTGGGGTACTTCCTGAAGATATCTTTGATGACCACGATGGCTTCCTGCACCACGTAGTTGACCTTGGTCTGAATCAGCTCCAGGAGAGTGGAGACGCAACGCTCGGCTGATGGTTCCACCTGGGAATTGACGAATTTTTGTTATTAGGTAAATGTTGTTTGAATATCAAGTTCCGGGTGTGTTGCTTGTGGTCTTAACTAATAAAAGACTTCGGTATGATACGAAAAGACTATTTAAATAGTACTAATAATAATAATAGGTACTAATTATAAGGGTCACCGGTCAACCGATATGTGCGCACGGCGTTGTGTCGGGCGAGCGAGTGCGCTCGCCATGCCGGGCCACATATGGTCGTGAGCCCGATGTGGCATCAGGAAAAGGAAATTCAAAGAAGAGGTGATTTCATCCGTTTGGTACGTTTTTCGAACAAACCTCTCTAAAAGAAATCTTCTAAAATGTAAAATTAATTTAATCCACTTAAAAATTCGGTCGCGATACCTCATACTTGGTAGTCGTGCTCACTTACAACGACTTAAATAATAATACATATTGAAATAATCAAATTGAAACTTAACATCTCGGGTAAATGTAGTACAGATAAAAAACAGCAGCTCAATTTATTCTTTTTTGTGTTTATTAGACTTTCAACTTTATTGTTTTGACATAAAATCGAAAACTCAACTCATTTTCTACTTAAACCCTAAGGTTGACTGGTAGAGAATGCCTTATGGCATTAAGTTCGCCTTATGTGTCAAAATCAAATTACGTACATTAAACTGTCAAACACCAAGCGGTCACCGGTGACCGCAACCTATTGTTCTATAATTGTGTCTATAATGACGGTACTCGACGAGTTAAAGACTAAATAAATTAAATCAGACAGTAGTAGGTTGACCTGATAGAGTCTGTATTTAGACATAAAAGCTATAAAAATCTGTGTTCTAACCTTAATAGCACAGCGTCCGATGGCCCTGACAGCCTTCCTGACGAAGTCTACATCCACCTCGGTAGCGTACTCCTTGAGCTCGCCCAGTACTTGCGCGATGTTAGCCTGCGACGCTAGACGGATCATTATGTCCAACTTCTCCAGCTTCACGTAGATCGGGTCGTTGTATTTCACGAAGAATACCTGGGGAATTAATTATATTTACTTTTTTATCCCTTTGTTAGTTTTAGCAAGGCTTTGTCCAGCATTTATCTGTCTATTTATTTTTTTAAATGTGTTACCCTTCTATAAAAACAGTTTTCGGTTGGAGTGTAGCAATGGGTGTGCGAAAAGTTTAGCACTTAAAAAATTGTCATCAAAAATGAGAATTCTTATTTTTTAAGTCCCAAATCTTTTGCACACCCTTTTTTTATGGCATAAGCCGGTAAACGAGCAGACGGATCACCTGATGGTAAGCAATCGGCGTCGCCCATTGACACCTGGAACACCAGAGGCGTTACAAGTGCGTTACCGACCTTTTGGAGATTAGGAATTTGAGGATTGTTGGGGATCCTCCCCTCCCCTTTCCTCAATCTCCCCAATTCGAATTGGGGAGATTGGGAAAGGGGAGTTTCGTATCGTAAAAGTATCGAGCGCGTTAAGCGTTCTGATTGGTTGGTTCACTTGAGCCGGCCAATCAGAGCGCCGAACGCGCTCGATACTATTACGTTACGAATGCGATAGTTATTCGTGCTTGGTACTCTGTTCTCATTAACCTAATATTCAACATAAATGTCGCGGAGAACCTAACGGGTAACCGGGGTTCCGGCTCGACGTGCAAATTGAAACTCAAACTCAAAAGCATTTATTTCAATTAAACCATAATTTGGTACTTTTGAAACGTCAACAAATATGAAATATATAATAGTCTATCAGTCTGTCCGTCAGTGAAGCTAGGCGCTCGTTCTAAAATGTCGATTCAAGTGGAGAAGAACGAGCAAGAAACTCCATTCGTTACTCTTTTCAAAAAAGTCTGTTTTACATTGCTCTGATACATATTCCAATATTGTACACACATGTGAGAATAATGTAAAGACGCAACATACAAATAACAGAACATACTAAAATAGAAAAAAAAAACAAAACCAAGAGAAAACAAATATCTCAAGTCTGACATGGTCCTCACATATGTATACTGACAATCCATATAAAATAGTGCTTCTATACAAGAAAAAAAAATTTAAAAATGTTCAGGAGAAGGAACGGGGTGGTTTTTAGTCAGCAAGAGTCTGACACTCCCTCCCGCCTCACCCAGGCGGGAGCAGTCATTCGATGATTATCCCCCCTTAAAAAAAAAAAATCAACATAAATACATAGTTACCTTCATCTCATGCTTCAGAATATCAGGTCGCTTCTGTACGACGAGGTTGATATTCCTGAGGGCGACGTACTGGACCTCTGGCTCCGCGCTCAGCAGCGTCACCAGCGGCGGCGCCAACTTGCGGGACAACGTACTGACTAGCTCCGTGTCGTCCGATACCATCTCCATTAACTTCATTAGGACCTAGGATTATGAGACATTGGTTACTTACTTTGTTGTTCGTTCATGTATTTGCTCTACACTAATATGTATTTAAATATTTATTTAGACCATTATCATAATAAATAGTAATTTAAAACAGACTGCCTCGTTGGCCGAGTGTCCCGGGTCGGGCAAAGTCATAACATAACATTACGCCTTCTATCCCCGAAGGGGTAGGCAGAGGTGCACACAGAAATTGTGTCCGGTATATGGCAATAGACTCACCCCCTATTACATGGGACTCATAACATAAATAGTGAAAAGTGGGTGTTACATTGTACAGTGGCATAATGTGCACCTCTGCCTACCTCTTCGAGGATAATAGGCGTGATGTTATGATGACGATTAAAACAAATGTAGAAGATCCAACAGTCAAACTATTTATGTATAGTTTTGTTGCACATGGCGTTAGATTGTACCTCTAAGGCATATCATGGTACCTTGGTTCAGTGTTCTGACCAAGCTTAGGCTTCAACCCAAGTATCTTTGAGAATTACACAAATTCTTACCTTAACAGCAGACAATACAACAGCGGCGTTAGCATGTGCCAGCCTGGGCGTGATCCTCTCACAGATGGAGTGCGCCTCCCTGGCGTCCCGCGGGGAGTAGTTGGACAGGGCGTCCAGTATGAACACCTGGCCCCACTCCGTGCACTCGTTCAGGGCCGTCAGCAACTTGTTTATTGTCGGAGCATTCATTTCTGTTAAAGAAAAGATAATTTATATTTATGTTGTAGAAATATCAATAGATAGGACCCTATTTCCAATGTTTAAAGACTACTTTTGTATAACATTGGTTACTTATGAGAAAAACAAATGTATCGAACCTTATTTTCTGAAACCAAAGTTGAGTGACTAGAGAAATATACAATTTAACCTGCTTCTTTAGTGCCTTTATTTTTTTCATCATCATCATCATCATCATCATCATCATCAACAGCCTATAAATGCCCACTGCTGAGCAAAGCCTCTTCTAACATTGAGAAGGTTTGAGCATTAATCACCACGATTGCTCAATGCGGGTTGGCGATTACAAACTTATAAGCCCAGGTTTCCTCACGATGTTTTTCTTCACCGTTTGTCCGTGGTGTCTAGATAATGTTAGGACATATAATTCGGAAAAAGTCACATTAGCACTTGCCGTTGGTAGGTTTCGAAGCCGCACCCTCGTGCCTAAAAAGCGAGCGTGTTAAACACCCGGGCCACCACGACATTATTTTTTTTAATGATTAAACTATAAAAGTACGCAAGAACTATGGCGACAAAAGTGTGGTTTTATGTATGTTTATGTATTTGCATGAAAAAATATCTTAATTTTAAGATTAACCTCAATTGCTGTTTTATCACTACACAGTATAAAACCAAGTCGCTGTTCGCCGTCTGTCTATCCCTATGTATGCTTTGATCTTTAAAAGTACGCAACAGATTTGGATGTGTTTTTTTTTAATAGATAGAGTGATTCTTAACTCAGGTTTATATGTATAATACATGCATATTGCACCTGTACGAAGCCGAGGTGGGTCAATAGTGTAGGTATAACTGATTTGGTATAGTTTATTGTTTAAGTCAACATTAATTTTAAAGAGTTTCTTATTAAGTATATGACTAAACTAAAAATCAATGTCAACCTTTAAACCGGCGAAGCAATCAAAACAAAATATTTTTCAGTATAACGAAAATAGAAAAATATTTAAGTGATGAATGGAATTTATTTTGGCATCTCACTATAATGGTACCACGTTTTGGAAGGGAGCCAGGTATAGCTTTACATAATTGGTTAGTTTTTATTAACCAGATAATAACCTATATTTAGATTTAATGACATTTACAGGCACTCTGTAAAGTCAAAGTGAAAATAATTTATTTCAATTAGACCAGGATAGCACTTTTAACTCGTCGAGTACCGGTTTTGTAGACACAATTATAGAACAATAGGTTGCGGTCACCGGTGACCGCTTGGTGTTTGACAGTTTAAAAAAAATGTCATTGGGAAGGTCAGTCTTCTAGTGAAGCTATTTGCTCGTTCTAAAGTGAAGATTCTTATGGAGAAGAACGAGCAAGAAACTCCATAAGTTAGTCCATAGGTAGCTTACAAAAATTATCTCACTTATAAGTTTAATTTTAAATTTAATAGAAAACGAGATAGACCAAACTGCGTACAAATTGAATATTGTGGTAAAATTTTGGTTACCGAATTCAGAAGCATTAGTACGAGTTTGTTTATAAAAAACATAACATAACATCACGCCTTTTATCCCCGAAGGAGTAGGCAGAGGTGCACATTACGGCACTTTATGCCACTGCACAATGTAACACCCACTTTTCACTATATGAGTCCCATGTAATAGGGGGTTAGTTTATTGCCATATACCGGGCACATTTCCAGACTCTGTGCTACTACTGAGATTTTTACAAACCCAGTAATACTTTGCCCGACCCGGGAATCGAACCCGAGACCCCTTGCCCGGCAGTCGTACTTGATTATCGGCCAATGAGGCAGTTTGTTTATGTTTAAAGTATTCGAAACGAGTACGTTTTGGACACTCTGATCGGCTAGCTCCAATTAACTATACTCGGAATTTTAATTCGATTCCAGATTTGACAATTTCAGTGTTGCAACGTTATGACAAGTACTAAATAGTGACGTCGCGAAATTATTCGATTTGGAAATGCAATATTTCGGGATCGATTCTTCTCGTTTATAATTTTACTCTCGTAAACTAAGTATATCAGGAAATTAAATATTTCTGAACTGATAATTTAGTTTTGACGATTAATTAACGATCTGAGACTTTTCTTTTATAATTGTGTGTGAAATAAATAAAAAAATGTAATCATGAAGGAACATGACAAATAAAACAGATAGGTGTATTATGGTAATAAGTTATTTTATAAATTGTCGCCGTCATCGCTATCGCTATCCTGTCACTTTCTGTAACATTTATTATAAAACTAGCGACCCGCCCCGGCTTCGCACGGGTGCAATATGCATGTATTATACATACAAACCTTCCTTAAGAATCACTCTATCTATTAAAAAAAACCGCATCAAAATCCGTTGCGTAGTTTTAAAGATCTAAGCATACATACGGACATACAGCGAAAGCGACTTTGTTTTATACTATGTATTGACACACACACACTGATTGTTTATCGATTTTTGTGTTCATCACTACACTATTATATGTGGTATCATTATTTCATAAAATGACAGTAGCTATTGTCAAATCTGGAATCTAATTAAAATTCTGACTATATACAATCAGGGCGCCGAACGCAGTCATGTTAGATTACTTTACACGTAAAACAAACTGGTACTAAGGCGTCAATACGTAAGGTAAAGTAAGGTTGTGGAAAATAGTTTTGCATACAATATTACAAACTACAATTTGCAGTAAAGGGCAAGGCCATTATGTCGTAGTCCGCATTATGCCATAATACGAACTTTAGGGGCATGCATGTAAATCTTTTGTACGATCAAAGGTCAAAGTCCACTGCCACCGTAAGACTACTATCAGTTGCACTGCAGCGCTTATACACACATGCACACGCATTATTTTATATATTACGTGTACGCACGCGTGCGTGTGTTTATGCGTACGCACGCGTTTTTATGCACAATAATATGAAATTACTTACGCATTGCCGTGTGAACATCATTCTCGGTGGCAGTGGACTTTTGACCGTTGACTATACCTACCACTGATATTGCTATGCAATAGATTTTTTGAGACTGTAATGCAGTTTTGACCACTGCTGTACCTACGATAATTGGGTAGTTTCCAAGGTATCAAAATTAAAAATCTAATTAGTCCGTCAGTTAGATAATGAAAAAATATTAGACACGTATTTTTTTAATTTTCTCGTATTCAGTTGCAATACTTAGATAAAATATTAATTATAGCGCTAAGTTTAGGAGTGGGAGATCGTTGCGTCATAACGTGCTACAAAATGTGGCACGCTGTGACGTCACACGATATTTGAAATAAATATATTGTCGAAAGTATTTCATTTTGTAAGAAAAAAAATACGTGTCTCGAGTTTAAAATTAATGTACCAGACATTAAAATAAAATTTAGGAAACTATCCCATATTTGTGAACACGCTGTTTTAAGGAGTAAAAATTACGTAAATCGTACCATTTGGCTTTTCATCTTCATCCTACCCCGACAGAAGGTAAACGACATAACAATATGTATGTACGGTCAAAGGTCAAAAGTCCACGGCTACCGCAAGACTCTATCGGTTGCGCTGCAGCGCTTATACCCACATGCACACGCATATTATCTGTGTGCGTACGCGTGCGTGTGTTTATGCGTTCGCACGCGTTTTTATGCACATTAATATGAATTTTTTTTTGTACCACGTCGGTGGCAAAAAAGCACACGGCCCACCTGATGGTAAATTACTTACACATTGCCGTGTGAACATCACTCACGGTGGCAGTGGACTTTTGACCTTTGACTGTACATAATTATGTATGAAATGAAGGTATGACGTAACTTACCCACTAAGGGCTGTCCCGACACACTGGCTTCATTGATCTCGGACAGTGCGGCGACCGCGTTGGCAACCACCATGGGGTTGGAGTCGCTCAGTAGATCCTTCAGCTGGTCCAAGAAACCCTGAGAAATGATATATAAATATAATATGGTTAGTTTAGAATAGTTATTAAAAAAAGAAACAGTTTCTGTGCTTATTTATTTGGAACACTATTGAAATTCCCTTAAAGATTCTTCAAGCAATTTCTTACTTGTATGTTTATGTGATTTTTTAAGTTTTTTGCTTAAATAACAAGGTCGTTTAAGCATAAAGCACTAATTTTAATTAATAATAAACACAAACTGTATCAGTTATCCGACTAGTTTGAGTCATAGATGACCATGAATCCATGAATGAATGAATCTTGGCTTGAAACTAATAGAGTAACTTCGAAATAGTTACTAAGTACACCGTATACAATAAATAAAAATCTATATTCACCTGATCTTCAACCATGCTCGAAGAGATATCATATAACTTAGCAACGCACACGGCAGCGGTCTTCCTGACATAGGGATCCTCATCTTTCAAGCACTTGCGGAGAGGCTCACAGAGGTACTCAGTGATCTTGTCCACTCTGATGCAGCCCATAGTCCGCACTGCTAGGGCTCTGATCAGTGGGTTGGAGTCCTCACAGTCCTGAAGGTGTAACCGTAGTGTCGGTATTGTGTATAAAAAGAAAAGAGAAGCAACACATCAATTATACAGAAGCAATTTTACTATAAGCGGTTTAGTAAATGGAACCTTTTTAGAGTAGACCTTTTACTGTAACAAAATCTTGGTTGACGCCAAACATTATTTATATATTTTTTTAAACTTAATGGCATAGAAAGTTAAAGAGTAGATGGATCACCTGATTTTAAGTCATCAGCGCTGCCTACAGTCAGCCTATACACAGAGGAGTTTCAAGAGCGTTGCCCGATTTGTAAACAACTAAATTATCCGATAATATCTTAAAAAAACTGCCTCGGTGGCCGAGTGGTCGATTTTTAAAAAACCCAGTAGTGTTCGTATTATGGTGTCTGGAATTGTGCCCGGTATATGGCAATGGGCTCCCCATGACCATGGGATTCATAACATAAATAGTGAAAAGTGGGTGTTACATTGTACAGTGGCATTGAGTGCGGTATTGTGCACCTCTGCCTACCCCTTCTGGGGTAAAAGGCGTGATGTTATATTAGTTCTATAAAGTATAATCTTGAAAAAAATTTAATTTTGCTTATTTGTCTCGCTTCTAATTCTAAAGAAAACTTTTATGAAGTGAAAAAAGACATAAAGTTTAATCTGTAACTAGTAAAGCTTTTCTCAGTATTTTCACGTGAATAACCCACGATTTTTAGTTAAGTTATTTCTTAGTACGATTTAGCAAACACAATATTGAAGTACTTCACTATACAAGCTGACAATCGGTGAAGGAAAATATAATTAGAAATTATAAGCCCAGGTTTTGTCACGATATGTCTGTATGATTAAGCAAGTGTGGTGATTTATGCTCAAACCTTCTCCGTGTGAGAAGAGGTTTTGCTTAGCAGTGGGCATTTATAGGCTATTGATGATGACTGTATAAGCGCACCACTTGACACAAAAGATATAAAAAATTAGATTAAACAGATCCCCGTCTAAATAGGTTCCATAACATAATAAATATAAGGGATATAATATAATAATAATAATAAAATAATACAGCCGATGTGCTTCTATTCATAGTACGGTATGAGGCATGGATTTTCATACATATTGTTTTTTTTTTCACTGGTTATTGAATTTTTTATGTAGATTTACACATTTCACGTGCCAAGTGTAAGATAATAAGATTTTAATAGTTATTATTATTGGTCATAGTACTGTGTATAATAATCATGCAATAATGTTTTACTATTGCATGCAGGGTGGAGTTATTGGGTAATTCAGTGCTTTTCTTATGGGATAAAAGTCTAAGCTTAAATAATTTTGTTTAGTAGTAAATTTCTGTTAGTCATTCTTATACATTTTAAATTAGTAATTCATAGTTTTCAAATTAATGAAAAACTTATTAAATAAAGAATAGTAATTAGATACTTATTTACATTTCCGTTGCTATACATTTTCTTATTACAATGTTATCGCTTCTCATGTTTTACAATATCAATTGAATTTAGCACTTATATTTAAAAAAAGGACTTTATCACATATTTTGATCCATAAAATACTATTACACAAATATGTTCAAATAATAGTCTAACAGAAATTTCACTATACGGTAAGATCAAAAAAAAACCAATGTCTTAGAAAATTTTCTTGATATTCAAAAACCAATGTGTAAATCTACAATCAGATGATTTGATTCTGGTTTTTCTGGATCATTTAGATTACCTTAACAAGCTGGTATGTTGGTAGGTCCTTCCACCCATCATTAAGGTACAGTTGACATTAAAAAACGATAAAAAATACATGTCACACACAAAAAATAACTACAAAAAGTAGTTATTGTTAACACAAATACTAGACAACAGGTTTTGTTTTATAAGAGTTTTTGTAAAAAGGGCATTGATTGCCATGCTTAAAAATTGTTCGAATATTATTAGAAATAATTTTAGTTTGTTCAACATTCACAACTGTTTACAACCCATGCAGAATTTTGTTGATAGGTAATTTAACATCACATTTAAGTTTTGTGGCTCGGAAAATGCTGTGTTAATGTTTACGATTGATATAAAATATGATTCAATATATTGTAAAACATTTTTAAACAACAATTTTTATAGTATCGGTTTTTGATTTACTTAAGTAACATTTGTTTAATATGGATGATATAATTAATGCTCAAATTAGATATTTAGAAAGCATACAAAGTCAATTAAAAATAATATCATCAACATGCAATATAAGATTGATAGATATACCGGCTGTCCTGTGTGGGTGACATTTTTTTTCTCAATTAAACTGTCAAACACCAAGCGGTCACCGGTGACCGCAACCTATTGTTCTATAATTGTGTCTATAATGACTGTACTTGACGAGTTAATATGACATACCTTGTTTTGTAGTTTTAATTATTATGACTTCCATGTAAAAGTTTTGCACGCCCGAATTGTGGGCAGAATACGAAGGACTATAATTATAATGTGAGCACTGTATACCTTGTTTGGGCAAATAAGTGATTTTTGATTTTTATTTTGATAACTCAAAAATCAAATGGATGCTATTTGATCATCGACTTCATGGACACCCCGTAGAGCTTAAAGGCCCCATCTTCAATTCTTTAAATTATTATCTTAAATATTTTACAAAGTAGAAACAAATAACTAATGACTGTTAAGTATAGCACTCCAGAAAACTAACACTGCATTTTCCGACCACATGCGCAGGTCACACAATCACAATCTACATAAATTACACAGTACGTACCTTGACGAAGGTGTTAACGGCCATAATGGCCATATCCGGTTGAGACTTGGCATAGTTCATCAGGTAAAGATAGACCAGCTTCTTGAGTTCTAGGTTATCGGTCTGCATACAGTTTACGACATCGGGGAATAATGCGGACACATCTTTGCCAACTGTCATTGATGCTATGACCTAGGGAAAGATTGTAATTTGTAGAGTTAGTAGATAGTACCTAATTTTGTCTTTGAATGAGTTAATCTCGAACACTGATTTATAGTTATGTTCAGTTGGCTATGCTATAGTCCAGTTAACAAAAATTATCTGCGTCTAACATCATTTTACATAACTTAGAAATGTTTTTGTGATGATTTATTCCTAGAAGAAAATGCTGAGCATTGTAATGCTGTTTTATTATACACCCTACAGAATTTGGGGTTTTAGATATGGTAACCCGTTGAAAATCATCCCTTAAATTCATTCATTCAAAGTAGTCTCTAAACATTGGAAATAAGGTCTATAATGTAGTTAGTGGAGAGTGGTCACTGGTGACCGCTTGGGGATATATGGGTAAAATAATGTTTTAGTTATTTTATTGAAAATGGTATTCAGTCAAATGAAGAACTATTAGGTCAAAAGAAATTCAAACAAAATTCTCATACTTTTAACTAGTCTCATAAGAATGAACTTTAAACTATTTAATTAAGAGACTTATGCAACAGCAATTTCTTGTTACAGGTTTATTAGCTAATGTTTTAATGTTTTTTTAAACTGGTGATATCAGAATTGGGCCAATAAGGAAATGTGATCTCTTATTGACAGATGATTTGTCATCAGTTTGATGAAAGTTGTGATTCAAATCAGTAGGTGGATTTGATGACTTTTTGGCTATTTATTACATGAAATTTATAGGGAAAAAGACTTGAATGTTTGTTTTTAATGGTATATCTGAACTTACTTTTTTGACCGCCTCCTTCTTTTTCTCCTTTTTATCACTGTTCAACTCCGATTTTAGTTCGAATATTTCTCCCTTCTTCGTCGTGGTAAAATACTTTGAATCCGTCATCCTGGTTGTTTAACACCACTTTTTTCTAATTTAAAACACTTTGGTGATGATAAAACTATTTATTTGTGACACCCGACCTACAAAATCGATAAAATATTAGGTGAATTTGACAGGAAGTTTGCGGCATTGATTAATTCAAAATACTGTAAAATTACTTTGACATTGATTGTAATATGATAGAACATTAATTATAACTTTAAATAAAAGCAAGTAACTAATAAATTGTCGAAATATTGTAAAGTAAATGTAATAAAACTTGCAAACGCACTTTTGACACGACGAAGGGGCGTAACAATACTAGTGATGTGCAGTGTTAAGTTGAGCCGTGAACGGAACACGTAAATAATCGATTAGAATTTTGTCGTTTCTATATCGAATTACTAAAGTTGTTAATCGATTTAAAAGTCATTTAAATTCTGACATAAATTGCTAATCTCAGAGTAGATTTAACGGAAGTGACCAGGAAACTCACTCACTCACATAATGACTCGGCTCACTGTCATTGCAGCGGTAAGTCTCCTCTTTGTGGAGTGGCTTGACAGACGCAGTGGTGTCTTCACCTGACGCAGGTGCTTACCGGACACGGAAGTTTTGGTAGGTTCCTGTTTCGGATACGGTGGGAGGACAAGCCCGGGTATCATAATTGCGAGAACCGCCTGGAGGACACGATGGAGCATACAGGGTAACTCACCGTCCGCCCAGAACCAGACCCGAGCGTACGGCGTATCGCGATTCCAGCGCGTCTCAAGGACTCATCAGATCACCACAGATGGGGCACAATATGGTTGATGCCGATACAGAGCCGCGGAGGACTTAACGGGTTGCCAAGGCTCCGCTTCGAAGTGCAGGAGTAGGAACGAGGAGTTGGTTTTTAGTCAGCAAGAGTCTGACACTCCCTCTCGCTTCACCTGGGCGGGAGAGAGAGTTGATTGGATGATTTTCCCCCCTCAAAATAAAACTCTTGTAATAAAGGAAAAGTAAGGAATTAAGGGCTGTTGAGTAAGTTGAAAGAGGTCTGATAGAATCGTAGCATGAGGGAATTGTACCAGACCTCTCTAACAGGCAGACAGACAATTCTAACAGGCGACAGGCGTGAGGTTATAGGTATATGTAATAAAGCAAACCCATTCTACTAATCCATAACAAAATTTTTGCGACAACTTTTAATGAGTTGATTATGCATTTAACTTAACAAATAAATATGTGTAAAGTAGTGATCTGATAACATACTGGCTTATTATTATTGATACTTTGTTTTAAAAACTACTTCTTAATTATTTACTAATAATGCTCAAGATACAACTGGATTTCCTGCATGTATGAATAAAGTAGGATAATACGATTGTTAATTTGTTTTCAACTGTGTATTCATATTGATTCTTGATTCGATTCCCGGAAATTCTCAATCGATGTTTGACATTTTTTCTTGAAATGACTATCGTGATTCCATGACTAATAGATTTTTCGTTTAGAAATGAAGAAAGTGCTTGATTTACAAAACAATAAAAATATGACGAGGAAACAAAAAGGAGTACGCTACAAAAAAAAAAGAAATAAAAAGCTTGTGATTTTTAACTACGTCTAAAGTACTTACACCATACCTTATATTTTAACATTGCACTTACTGTAATACTATCTTAATAAAGTTCCGAACGCAATCAACGTTTTGTTATTGCTAAAGATATAAAAATTAATCGAAACGAGGGTTGCCAGACTTATCATTTCCGGAACATTTCTTTAGGTTCTATTAAAAAATGAAAAAGAGAATCAGTGACTGTTTAGTTTTATTTTACTGATCAAAATTTATTTAATTTTTCAACACATATAACATCACGCCTTTTTTCCTCGAAGGGGTAGGCAGAGGTGCACATTATACCACTCTATTTAAATTTTCAATAGCTATATTTAACAACTCTAGATTATTCTGGTTAGCTTGCATAGTTTAACCAGTTTTTCATGAATGGCATCTTAGCTGGCATAGCTTGCGGTGGATGCACATGTATACAGAGTGCCTGAAGTCGACGATCACATGGTATCAAGCAATCGGCACGGTTCCATAAGTTAAAAGTAAAATATAAAAAAAAATATGTAAGTCATGTAGTTTTTAAATTACGACGACTTAAATATGTGTTATCCACGGTTGCTAAATACAATTATTTATTTTTTCATCTGTATTTTTGCTTACGTTATCTTAAATAGTGTTCCAGTATTATGGAATCATAAATTCTGAGCCAACTTCTTTAGTTTGAAAAATAATGTGGTTTTTTGACAAACCTGTTATTAATAAAATCATCTTACTCTAAGTGACTGTACTAAAACAAAGTACTGCGCCAGTAGTGGCAAATCATCTTCACCAAAGTTGGCGCATTTAATAAAGATTCTTAAAATGGTATGCCACTCCCTACATTACTTTTTTAAATTCGAAAACCAAAATATATTTTTCAACGAGCAATTTATTTCGAATTAAAGGTGCTGAAAACCTCGTATCTACCAAATAGCACTTTGTACGCAACATGACACACCATGTTGCTAAACATGTTTGAAATATGCTCATGCTGCAGACTTACCTGCAGGATAACGAGCTAACACTGAACAATAGACTCGAAGCAGCAGAAGCAGTCATATACGACAACAACAGATCGAGGGTAGTGAGAGGAACCTCTATAACTCGAAGTATGGCTGTTTATAACGCAACTGCAGGATTTGTGTCTTTGGACGAGAGGGAATCCGATCGATGCGGAGTTGTATAGTTTAAACTTCTTCTAGGGATTAGCTAGCAGTGGTTGCAGCACCAGAATTATGCTAGACGATAGAATTTTAGAGATGGCAAGATTCATTGCAGAATTTGGACTGGGCGGCGTAGTCTTTGGGAACTGGCATTCTCCTAGGTTTCATTGGACGAATGGCGTCCCTGGATGCAGAAAAACGACATGGATAGTAGATCAATTTGAAGCGGATAAAGATGTAATTGTCACCCCAACAACTGAAAAAGAATCCCTTAAGAACCAGAGAAACTAGTCGACCGTGGGATTACGCGTCCTCACAATACACGAGGCATAGAGCCTTTCGTGCGCATAAAATTCATGTTATCGTACCACACGCGGTAGTAGCAATATTACGTCACACGCATGGTTGCATCTATTACACAAATAACAGTGAAGACGCGTTAAGCAAACTAATCAGGAGGGCGGCTGATGAAAGTGAGGGCGGGGAATGTTCCTTGTGATAAAGCGGATGCAACATGAGGAAATGTGTATCTGTGTGCAGAAATATGTAGATATATAATTAACCGTTTGAATGCACCGATATGAGACACAATAGAAGATACATTGTCTCGCGTGGATCGCGTTTAGACACACAACGGGTTAAAGCAAATACTACTATTTTATTATTTCCTTACTCGGCAATTACCACCTAATTAAAATAAAAACACGATTAGGGATGTATTTTTATTATTTTTGCATTATATTTACGGGTAAAAATGAAACATCAACATATATTTCCGTTACTTTATTAAATAATTTCATTTTACAACCAGTATTGAATGCAGTAACATTTCATCACATTATAGTACGTACACATAATAATTAGATAATTTCATAAATTGGTTACAGACATACAGACGTAATACGTACATAGAGAGTAATGGAGTATACAATTACAAGAAACTCTATAATCAGGAGTACATAGTTTAAAGATAATCGTCTAATATTAAAATTACTATAAAACAAACCAGTCATGAATGGAGTTTAAAAAAAACATGTTCTATTTAACTATTAGATATGTTTCCAGTCTACGATAAAGCAACAACTCATTTGTAACAAATAAATCATAGAATAACAGTCTGATCACACGAATATTACAAATTAAATAATAAAAATGTATATGCCATCTAGTTATTTACAAAAGTTAGCTAACTAAATAACAAAGAACCTATTATTATTTTGTAAGTTACACGCCACTAGGCCGTCTAAATACTGACTGGCTGGCCGGTCGCCGCGCGATCTCTAAACAATTAATTAATTCCCTAATAATTCTACGCTAAATAAATTAAAGTCAAAGCCTAGGTATAATGGCGCCGGCGTTGTAGTACTCAGAAGTTCTTCTTTATTTAAAGATATTTTTAAATCTGGAATGCATTCATTTTTATTACCTGGCAACACTGGCCAGGACACCAGCGCCATCTGTCACTAAATACACTGAATTACCTAAACATCTTTATCAAACGCGTTAATAATTTCATATCAAAAGCTTTTTCTATGAATACATGAAAGTTTCGAATGTATAATATATCGATTAGTGTATAATGCCTTTCAAAAGTGATAATATTATTGTTTTACTGAGCAGTCTAATTTAGGAGCCATCGTTACATTGAATTCCAAGCGTAGAGTACCATTGCTACATCGTTTAATAATAATCATCGCTGGTATGGGGTGCATATGCATATTTGATTAGAACATTTCATTCGCACTGAGGAGTCTCTGATCTCACACACATTTTGGCGCCAATTTTTGACAGCTGTCACTTTTGACAGATGTCATTTAGACGTTGATTGTTTCAGTGGAGCACGACATGCGGCGCGGGCGCGGGCGCGTGCGGGCTGCAGAAGACGGCGCACAGCGCGGGCAGCGCGCGCGTCAGCAGCCCGCCGCCGGCGCCACCGGCTTGTTGTTATGCGAACGATTCCTTAGTGGGACTCATCTGCTTGCTGGAGCCCATGCTGGACCGGCTCTCGCGGCCTCCGGATGATTGGGATCTGGGGGATAATAGAAAAGTTTAATATTGTATAGTAAACTTAGCTTAGTTTTTGATTTGTAAGGCATTGTAGGTGGCAACGGTAGCATTAATATTTAGTACCTACTCTTGCAAATATCATTGTATTCTTGTCTAGACTATTCAGCACGTTTGGAGATTTATTTGTGAAACTGTTATTCAGTATGGTTGTAGTGGTTTTCTAAACTAATTAAACTCTATAGAAATCCACTTCAAAAAGGGCAATG